TGCTAAGCAACAACCAATGTGACTGGACAACACATCAATAGCCTAAATCTTTAATCCATATTGGATTGTATTAAAGTTTTGTATTTCTGTCTTCACCTACCAAATTTAGTAGACAATGTAATAAAGAATGGGGTAAAGGCAAACCTTTATTTTCAATATGAACCGAAGACCATAACACAGGGCATCAATAACAGGACTTCATTAACGATTCAACAGAAGTTCCTCCATTCAAAAAATACGGGTGATTTAAAATATTTGACACATAATTGTTTTTATTATCAAATAAACTAGATAAAAGACATAATTTATCATATCTATTTTAAAAATTTTATCAGTTAACATCCAAAAAAAATAATATTTCAAATATTTGATTTAAGATTGGAATGAGTATGAATTTTTGTTTTACTCTTTCCTGGGCACAACTAGTCATAGACTGATTTGTTTGACAGATAATTGTTTTGGAGATGAAGAATAGTGCTAGGGATGTGACAATAGTCATACTACAGTATGTATGAAGATAGGTTGCCAGGTAATAAAACATATGCTCATAGCAACTAAGTCTGATATGTCCAAAAAGGCTGTCGCATTTGTATTTATAGTTGGTAATGGAATCATTTACAAGACATTAAACACTGATCAATGGCAACAATCCATGAAATTTGATAGACTTCTGCTAGTTCCGCCCAGAGGTGCCTGTAATATGGGTGGTGGGGGAGAGAAATGGGGTTTAATGTCCACTCAACACAAACTAGGTCATTTCGGGACTAATACATGGTTCAATTTTATTTCAATAGTTCGCTTGCGCTTAGGGGTCTTTAGCTGTGGGAGGATACCGGTGGACCCGGAGAAAACCCACAAGGTTGGACAGGCGACCCTACACCTTGTCCTGTAATATGGAAAACCTCTTTCAAAAATAACATTGATCGAGGCTAAGAATTGTTGTCCTATAACATTCATATTCATATTAGCTTGTGCAATAACTATGAAACTTCTTTTGTGGAAGTGTTTAAAATGGATACTGTTACCACAATACAAGTTACTAAGTCAACCAACCGTTGCCAGGCAAGATACGCCCACATTTTACAAAAGATGGATAGAGAACAAGCTATAAAACCTGTGGCTACCACGCAGGATACGCCCACATTTTGCAAGAGATGGATAGAGAACAAGCTAAACAAAAAGCGATTTTTCGTAAAATCAGGGGCCATAATTCAGAAACTTATGATCCGATATGCGTGAATATTGAAAGGAACCAAGATCTTTCGGTTATAAACATGCATTTCAAGTTTCATCAAAATCAGATGAAAATTGTGACCTCTAGAGTGTCCACAAGCCATAATTCATGAAGTTATCATCCGATATATGCCAATATCGAAAGGAACCGCGATCTTTGGGAGATAGACCTATATTTTAAGTTTTGTTAAAATTGGATAAAAATTGTGACCTGTAGAGTGTCCACAAACAAATTAGGGCATATAAAAAGGTTTATACGTACAAACAGGAGCCATAATCCAGGAAGTTACAGTCCGATCTTTGGATTTTGGATTATAATCATACATTTCATCAAAATCGGATAAAAAATATAACTTCTAGAATGTGCACAACTTTGGTATTATATACTTTCACATTCTTTGTGTACAAGGAGCGTCCATTTTGTCCATCAGTTTAGGTCAGATTTTTATGAAATTTGAACTTAACCTTCATTGATGTGTAACGGTGATGTATTTAAGCATTTTTTAAAATTGAATACAAATTGTGACTACAAGCAGGTCCAAAAGCTAAAAATGTGATTTTTCGAAAAATCAGGGGCCATCATCCAGGAAGATACATTTGGATATGTACGATTATCGAAAGGAACCAAAATCTTTGTGATATAAGTTTGATCAAAATCGGATCAAAATTGTGGCCTCTAGAGCGTCCACATTTGGTCTGTCACTTTTCACAAAATTTGAACTCAACCATCATTAGGGTGTAATGGTGATATATTCAAACGGTTTTTAAATCGGATAATAATTGTGGCCTTTAGAAGGACCTCAAGCTAAAAATGCAATGGCCATAATTCAGGAAGTTACAATCAATATGCGCGAATATCGAAAGGAACCAAGATCTTTGGGTTATAAACATATATTTCAAGTCTCATCAAAATCAGATCAAAATTGTGACCTTTAGAGGCTCCACAACCTTGATATACCATACTTTTACACGAGGGGCGTCCATTTTGTCCGGTAGATTTGGTTTGATTTTCATGAAATGAGAACTCAACCAACATTTTGATCCCATTTTCATGAAATTCAAATTCAACCATCATAAGGGTGTAATGGTGATATTTTCACACCGTTTTTTTTAAATCGGATAAAAATTGTGACCTCTAGAGGAACCAAATACAATCGAGGGCCATAATTCAGGAAGTTATGATCCGATATATGTGAATATCGACAGAAACCAAGACCTTTGTGTTATAAACATGTATTTCAAGTTTCATCAAAATTGTGACCTCTTAAGAGTCCAAAACCTTGATACAGCATATTTTTACACAAGAAGTGGCCATTTTGTCCGGTAGATTTAATCCGATTTTCAAGAAAGGAGAACTCAACCAACATTTTGGTATATCGGTGATATATTTGAAGGTTTTTTTTTAAATCGGATAATAATTGTGTCCTCTAGATTGACCACAAGTTATGCGCAAATATCGAAAGGAACCAAGATCTTTGGATTATAAACATGCATTTCAAGTTTCATCAAAATCAGATGAAAATTGTGACCTCTTGAGTGTCCACAACCTAAAAACGCGATTTTTCGTCCGATATATGCCAATATTGACAGGAACCGAGATCTTTGGGAGATAGACCTATATTTTAAGTTTCGTCGAAATCAGATAAAATTTGTGACCTTTAGAGTGTCCACAAACCAATCGTGGCCGGACGGCTGGACGGGGCATAATACATCCACATGAAAATGTGGGCGTAGAAAAACAAAATAGGAATGTCAAGTATCGTGATTTACATCGGTTCATTAAATATTTTGTGCTAGCCCAGGATCGAAAGATTCCAACATCCACCCCACCTCAAAATCTAGAGCCCATTTTCTTTTTGACTACAGATCTTGCAAAATATGAATTTGGACTACATTGGACTACATTGAGTAGCCTGTGACAGAAATAACCTTTAGGCCATACAAAAACAACCCAAATACCCCGGTTCTGATTTAAGAGGGAGGTTTTTATTTTGAGTTTATATTTTGCCAAAGGATCACCACTGGGCAAAATGACTTTTAATAGTGTCACATTTCAAGGCACTACATTTACCTCATCATGGTATAGGAATGTATGATTATCTAGTATTATTCATGAATATCTGTAACATTTATCAGGGTTGTGTACTTGATAAATGAGCCTACTGCACATTTCTGGATTCATTTCAATTTTTTAATAGAGTTACTTTCTATTATCTGGGTAAATTATACTATTCAAAAAAAGTAGGGGATATTTGATTTTGGGGGCATAATACTAAAATATGCAAATGACTACGAAAAAAGTCACTATAGAACCTAACAGAAGAAACATTTCCAGTTACATGTGACGCCCAAACGCACCAATAGCTACCGCATGGAATGCAGGTGATGCTTGGGATCATCATGGGGGTCCAACCCAAGATTTGCACGACTCTGACTTTGAATGTTACAGTCATTGTGGCATTGAATTCCAGGGTGGAAACATCAGTTTAATTGTTTTAGTGACCAGAAAACAAATTTTGATATGCGTCTGCTTACCCAAAATGAAAGGTTACGTGCCCTTGGCATGCTACAGATCGGCACAACACAGGCGGTTGTGGCGCGGACGATGAATGTTTCTCAGTCTGTCAAAAGCAGGCTATGGTCCAGATACCGTGATACACAATCTGTACAGGACAGACCACGCTCAGGTCGACCAAGGGCGACAACTCAAGCCCAGGATCGATTTATCCGTACCTTGGCCTTGAGAAATCGTGTCATCACAGCAAATCAGATCAGCGCTCGTCTTCAAACAGACACTGGTGTGAGAGTGAGTGGCCAGACGATTCGGAATCGACTGCATAGGGGTCACCTTCGCGCCCGACGTCCTCGCGTGATCCCTTGTTTGAGAGATCATCACATTCAGGCAAGACGTCGTTGGTGTAGGGATCGTCAACACTGGGATAATCGACGCTGGAGCAATGTGATGTTTTCAGATGAGTCAAGGTTCACTGTTGATTTTTTGGACAGACGTAGGAGGGTGTGGCGTCGTTGAAACGAGCGCTTCGAAGACGTTAACGTCACCAGACATGATCGATTTGGGGGTGGTTCTGTTATGGTGTGGGGAGGCATCACTGTTGCTGGAAGAACGGCTTTACATGTTGTTGCAGGGCGTGTTACAGGCCAGTACTACCGGGACAACATCTTGGCAGTCCATGTTGTGCCGTTCGCACGACGTCATGGCCGCCGTTTCATCTTCCAGGATGACAACGCAAGATGTCACAGGGCCAGGATCGTTACAGGTTACCTCCAACAACAGAACATCACCACATTACCTTGGCCAGCACTGAGTCCCGACCTCTCCCCCATCGAGCATGTCTGGGACATGCTTGGACAGAGGTTACGTCAACGTCAACAACGTCCCGCCAATGTCCAAGAACTTGCTGCTGCGTTGCAACAGGAATGGGACAATCTGGACCAAAATGACCTTAGACGTCTCATTAGGAGTTTGCCACGTCGGATCAATGCTTGTTTGGCAAACAGAGGAGGATTTACCCGTTACTGACTTGGTTGTGATGCTGTGGTAACTTTGCTGTTTGACCCCGGGTATCATTTTACCCTTATAATGGTCAGTCTGTGCCTTACTTAGTCTAACGATCATTTGGAATAAATCGATGAATGTGAACTTCATTTCATTTTGTCATTTGTTTCTTCGTCAGTTTCATTAGGTGACTTTAATAACACTTAAAAATCAAATATCCCCTACTTTTTTTGAATAGTATATTTATTTTTTGAAATAGAAATGAGTCATGCAGTCTTTTTAAGTGATGCAGGATTATTTGACAACCAGACAATTTTTTTGTTTTTGGGCTTTATTGTAATTCTTAAACAATAAATTTCATGGAATTTATTTAAAATGAAATATACACTCTAAAATATGTGCCCTTTCAAGGACTGTGAATTACTAGGCAGCGGTAAGTTATACATCCTGATATTTTATTCTTATATGTGCAATTCTGGCAGACATTTCATTCGGGTTCATAAAATCTGATTTAAAAATGAACACTGTTATAAAGGAGATTGTTTCTAAGGCCACTATGTTTAGTTTTGTATTGTCATATTGCCATGAAAAGTATGAAGAATTATTGTGTAGGACATACTATCACATACTAAACGTCTGGTGTGCACTGAATGTTTTGACAGACAGAAAAATTGTTGAAGAGAAATCAGACTGTCGGCAATAAATAATCCTTCATGTGCCAAGGCTTTAATCACAAATAAGTTAAAAACGAGATTGACTGTACAGAGGCGTGTCCTTGTCCAATCAACGACCCGTATACCCCATAATAAGAGAGAAGATTCTCCACAGAGCAGCCATAACTATAACTGATATACTGAACCAAAATACTGGATTAGAAACACATTCTGTAATTGATGTCTGAAATAAAATAATATAGATGTTAAAAAATAAAAGCAATTCCAAGTCTTTCATTCAAGTGTTCAAATCAAATGTAAGTTAATAGCCTAATTACGATGCCTGAAAGTATCATCTCAATCAATTGATGGGACAAACAGTTTATAGCAGAAGTGAATTAATAAACACGACTAGTTGATGGGACAAACATTTTATAGGAGGAGTCACTTGATAAACATGACTAATTGATGGGACAGTTCATAGGAGGTGTGACTAATAGATGGAACAAACAACAGTTTATAGGAGGTGGTAGAATAATAGCTAAGAAGTTTGTGACATGTATGGCAGATAGTTACATTTTTATAGTATGCTACTTCAAGTTTGTGTATCTCGAAATTGCAGTGGTCAATTACATACAAACTTTGGAGAAAAGACATGACCAAATGCTGCCCCCTACTGTTGTGGAAAGGGTTCAGCCCAATGAAAATTTGGGAAAGTTGGAGTCGGCTAAAAGAACCATAATTAGCATTACAGTAAGCAGGTGAAATTAATCGTGGTCTGCGTCCAAATTAATCAGCAGTTATTTCCCTTTCATTGCAAAATTAATATTCACAACAAAGCCCACAAATTGTTGACTTAGAGAAAACTAATAGTAGGTGTGTAATATATAACCAGAATATTTCTCACCTCACTATAAGATACTACAGGTGCACCAGATACTTCTCCTTTCTTTAACGGTGGGGGAACATCAAGTGGTCGTTTACCTCGCGATAGTAACCTCCCTTTCAAAAAATGTTTTCCAGTTTCTATTATTTCTACCTCTAACATTTTACCCATTAAATCTTCTTCTTTGGGAACTAAAACCTAAATAAAGAAATGTAAATCAAATAGGAGTTTAGTGATGAGATAAGCTATATAATATTATAATTTTCATTTTGAAAGATTAAGTGGAAGTCCCCTTATGAAGTAATTTAGTTTTAAATTCTAACTTCCTGTGTGGATGTAAAATTTGCAACAGAGGAAGGTTGTCAACCCATTAAAGAAATGGACATGTGAAATCAAATAGAATAAACAATTTATTTTAGACCCAAATCAAAAAGGTCATATTTAATAGTAACAATTGGCGTATTTGATTGGATATCCTGGAATTGTATCCTCTCAATCCTACAAAAAGAGTGACAATCAATTAAAAGATAGGTTGCCAGGCAACAAAACATAAGCTAAGTCGTCGGTAGTAAAACATTTATAATACACTAAAATCTGATTAAGAGTAACAACTCATCAAGTAAGTATCATAAAGTCATTAAAATTTATTTGGATTCTAGTTCTGCCCCATGCTAACGTTTAGTATACAAAACATTTAAGCGGCGTTTACACGATACCGTTAGATGCAAAGGTCGCATCCGACCAAATCATCAGACAAATGGTCAGATGGACACCTTGTTTTATGGATAGGACCAGCTCTATTTTCATATGATGGACTTGTGGCAATGGCCAATCAAATTGCGTTATATTAGACAATGTCATATGGTGTATGACGTCGTATCAGAATTCATGAATAAATATGTCTTCGTCTGTCATTTTGAGTACTTTTATATCCTCCAAAATGGATCTAAACCTATCCGCGACTGAAATAGAATATCTAATAACTCTGTATAGGAGACATGGACTTTGTGGAACCGGCGGCATGAGAAGTGTCGCCTTACTTCCACTTTATTCAGTTACTAAGTAGGAACAAATTGATGTTGCCATACAACGAATAGTTATCGGGATCGAAAAGACTGTGACCGGATTGAATTTAGTGTCACTCAAGTGCAGTTTTAAGCTCACAATCAAGCATACCAAGGATGTTTCAATCCAAACTATGGGTTTTCACTGTACAATAACTTCCAATGAATTGAATCAGATTTTACTTTTTTGCACCAACCGGGCTAATTTTATCTGGACAGCAACTGAATTCCAGTTGTCAAGATTTCCCATAAGTGCATGCCAACGTGTACACAAGACCTTGTTTTTTGTCCGACCCGCACAACTAGATACTTTTCCTTGACAGACCCTCCCTCCTGCACCACTGACAAGAGTGAAACCACGCTTGAAAATCCTGGGAAACTGTCTCGGTCTTAGAAACAAATTTTATATAAACTAACCTGATCATAACATTTATTATGTGCTACATAGTACTGACCATCGTGTGATATCTCTGTTACTAATACAGACTGAACTTGACCTAACTGTAATATAATTTTTAGTACATAAATTAAGGTGAAAACTACAGTATATATAGTAACTTTATCTTTAAAGTCTCTGAACATCATTTGAGGTGGTGTTAATCGCTTGCAAACTACAATATTGTCCTTCCTTATATTCCTTGTATGTCTGGCATTCACAAGTGATATATTTGTGGTTTGCAGTAAAAATAATTCAAAATTTCCATTGAGAACTATTTCCTATATATCATTCACAAGCTTGACTGATGGCACATTATAATCAGTCAAAATTTATTGTGGATCCTAAAATTTGGAAATTCGATGGGATTCGTCCCTATTGTCCCAATGTACAACCTCACTAATGTTGCCAAATAATGTACTGTGTATTGAAATCAGGAGTGGAAAAAAAAATATTCATATAGAAACATTTACATGTAATAACACATGAATAATATGTAATAACACATGAATAATATGTAATAATCACCTTATGACTGTAGGGTTGATAAGATTGAAATAACTCAGATACCCGTTTAGTTCTTTGTTTAACCTGAAATATTTTTTATTCAATAATAATTTAATGAATAAGGCTAATATGAGTGAATGATTGAAATGAAATGAGATTCAAGGTCCTACTTTTCTACACCAACCGAGCTAATGAAGACAAGCATACCCCATACAGTGTGTTATGAGGGACATTTTGACTGAACAGCAATTGAATTCCAATTGTCAGGTGACTTGAAAATTTGGGGGAACTTTCTCGGCCAACACCAGGATCGAACCATGGACTTTATGCAGTGATGGGATTTCGCCCCGTATATTCCAGACATGTCCAACACTATTTTCAAAACGTCCTAAATTGTCCAATCGGACATCAGCCAGAGTATGGTTAATAATATTCAAAATTCCAAAATTAATATAGTGTACTGAGTGTAATCTATCACTCAACCCAATTATCATTGATAATAGTATGGATTGATTAGGTAATTAAGTGATCAACGTACTTATCGTGTTATACCGCCTATACACCTACCTTGATTAACTAGTTAATCTGCCTTGATTGGCTGACTTAATCCTTTATCGGAAATCCTGAAGATAAGTCATTGCTTCTCCAATGTCGGACTATGTATTAATCCAATAAGAGTGAGTATAAACTTAATCTACGTGACTGACCCGTGATTTCTCAATATTCGAACGTTTTAATCACCTTGATGTCGGCCGACAACACTTAGAAATTAGTCATAAATGTCAATATCCTAATAGTATATAACACCCCAAATCAACATACATTGTATCCGATAACTCATCTGCCATATCACTTCAGTGGAAGCAAGCATTAAATAAAGCTATTTCACACACACACACACATATCAGAAAAATACTAGACAATGCAAGCTCTGTTTCTGATCGCACACGGTTATAGTACAATAACTGAAATGGAAGTAGAAATCTTGCAAGAGGTGTGAAATTATGAAATGAATATGTGACAAATTTCACACGTCTAATGTCGGAGAAAAGTAGTTAATTGTTTTAGACGATAGCGATTGCTAGAGTCGAATACGATTATTTAGCAGATGGTGTCACTCACTCGTTGTGGTAGAGCAACGTTTACTGCCAAATAAAATAAGTCAAAACGGAGTACAAGACGAATGCCAGACTTCTGCTGAAAAATGTATCGACTTATGACCCGAGAAATACGGTAATTTTGGAGGAATTTAAAACAGGTATGGGTCGGAAGTAGTCGGCATGCTTTCATTCTATCGTATTATGACATCATGTAATTTTGTATGTATATTACTGACATTACAGGAATTAAATATGAAAAATAACAAGGTGCACCTATTCTTTTATTACGTACGAATTTAAATATTTTGTTGACATGTGATTTTTGTGTGCGATCTAAAACTGCCTGCTTAAATAATGATAAGAGTTATGTTCTTTTATTTTCGGTAAAAATGTCTGACAAGAAAAATTTTGAAATCCCATCACTGACCTTATCATTACCAAGGCAGGACCTTACTGACCACCGTTACTCCAGGCTAATTTAGGTGCGGGTTCAAAATGTGATAAATCAAACAACCAGCGGCTGCCAGGCAGGATACGCAAAACATTTATCAAGAGATGGATAGAGAACAAGCTAAACAAAAAGCGATTTTTTGTAACATCAAGGGCCATAATTCAGGAAGTTACAATCCGATATGCCTAAATATCGACACGAACCAAGATCTTTGGGTTATAAACATGTATTTCAAGTTTCATCAAAAGTTTCATTTTGTCCGGCAGTTTTGGTCCGATTTTTGCGAAATTTGAACTCACCTGTCATTAAGGTGTAATGGTGATACATTCAAACAGTTTTTTAAATCCGAATAAAATTGTAACCTCCATAGGGTCCACAAGCTAAAAAATGTGATTTTTCGCACAATCAGGGGCCATAGTTCAGGAAGTTACGGTCCGATATGCGCGAATATCAATCTGATTAAAACACAGATCCAATTTCGTTTCGTTTTTTATAGTTCAAAATTTCGTTTATACTTATCTTTACTACACTTGGATCTGGAAGACTTGTTATTTAACTTGTGTTCTGCTTGAAATGAGGGGTCAGCCAATCAAATGGTCTGTTGAATCGAGCGTTTGACCTTTTTTGTGCGGAACTGTGGGTAGACATTACCAGCGATAGAAATCAAAACAAAGCAAAAGAAGATTTAAAAAAGCATGGCGGTCGCTAATTGGTTAATCGAATGACTGACGTTGTCGAGTCAAATGTCGCTTGCTTGGTACCTGACGTCATAGAATTTGAACTCCCACTATAACTTGTTAGATCTACATGTAGTGTAGGCCATCGAAAGTATAAAAAACGAAACGAAATATAGATCTATATTTTAATTAGATTGTGCGAATATCGAAAGGAACCAAAATCAGATAAAAATTGTGACCTCTATAGGGCCCACAAGCTAAAATCGCGATTTTTCATACAATCAAGGGCCATAATCCATGAAGTTACGGTCTGATACATGCGAATGTCGACAGGAACCGAGATCTTAGGGAGATAAACCTATATTTCAAGTTACATTGAAATCGGATAAAAATTGTGACCTGTAGAGTGTCCACAAACAATTGTGGACGGACAGACGGACGAACAGGGGCGACGACAATATATACGTCCACATGAAAATGTAGGCGTATAAAAACCTTAAAAAATTATTTAGAGTGTGTTTTAATGTGTCAACTGTCAATGCATTATAATAATAAATTCCATTTAATCAGCAATTATCGTAAAAGACAAGACAATAACATTTTGATTAATTTTCAAGACCAAGAAGGCCATATTTTGGTTAGATGTAAGGGTCCAGTGACTTTTTGTGGCCAGGGCAATAAAAAAAACAAATGACAAACACATACATGTTGTGGGTCTACTCGTTGGATTTTTGCAGCTGGAGTTCCTGGACGTGGAAAAAATTGATTTATAAATAAACTGGCAAATTTATACTCTTCAACTAAATCCATAGTTTCTTGAAAATCCTGAAAATTGAATATTTTTGATTAATTGATCCTGACAATTCAATAAATAAGAAGCCTACATTTCATTAATCCTGAAACCAGATGTATTAGAAACATAAACTAAAATCTGCCCTACTTTCAACAGAAGTCAAAATGAAATGTCTTACCGACTCTTTTGTTTTATTCACTGCAAGAGAGGAGAATTTTATGCAATGTTTCAATTCTCTCTTGGTTGTTAACTTCCATAATAGTACTATTGCAAACAATGTATGACAATCTGTATATCAATTCCTTGGTTGTTTAACATCTGCTTTCACGATATTGCAGACAATGTACATATGACAATATATCTATCTACTGGTAGTTTAACGTTTGATATCACAGTGAAGATCTAGAAGAAATCAAAAGCCTATGTGAAATTTATCTACTTATCTTCCAATTTCATTGCATTATGTCATGGGTTCTTTTTCATGCAACTCAATGAATACATGAATAAACTTGGGTTTTTGGTGCCACCAAACCGATTTACCAGTCCCACAGATGCTACACAGGGCCTATTAGAAATAACGAGTACATAAATAGTAATTTTAATGATCTTCAAAATCTAGATTACCTCCTCTGTTTCTGTTGGAAAACCACAAATTAAATCTGTTGCTATATTTACATCTGGTACTCTGAAAAATAAGATGAAATATTATACTTTAGACTCAAATTACTACTCAGAATCAAAAGCCTTCTATGTTATAAATGTAGCAAAAGCTTAAATAATTAAAATATTGTACCAGTGGCTGTGAAAAGGTATTTACCATGTATAATGTCTATGTTATCCAAATTTCCAACCAATAATTTTTCAAATATCCATGACTCTTTCACAGATAACATTAATCTAACATACCCTTTTTTGAGAGTATTAACAACTTGTTTAAAATCTGCTAAACAGTATTCTCTCTTCATATCCATTAAAACACTATCCGAGGCTGACTGGATAGGAACATGAAGAAATGAATAAACTCGAGGATGATCTAATATTTTAGCCATTTCCTGAAGATAAAAAATAATTGGCATTGTTAACATTTTAAAGGGACATTTCTGAATTTGTTGACCGCGAGACAATTCACTCTTGATTTCAGTCTCTACAGTCCAATGTAAAATAATAATAGTGTCTAATCAAGCAACCCTGTCTCAAGCAACTTTGAATTAACAAATCTGAACAAGCACCGCCCAGGCAGTATTACCTACAAAATTTTGTTCAAATCCATTAAGTGGTTTAGGAGACAATGATAAGAATGATTAGTTCTGCCAATTGTCAGTATGGATGATGAACGTAAGCTTTTGGGATTGAAGGGTTAAAAAGGAAACAATACCACGATACAGGTGAATCGATAATAGGTTACTTGCCTCTAAATGTTCTAAGATGTATGGTGGATTTGTCATTCCTAGTCTCATCATGGCACCTTCAGGAATGACTTTAACAAGTTGCCATAGCAATTCAGGTAATGTGACACCAATGTCATGACCATAGGCACCAAGATCTTCTGATGTTAACCATAATTCTACTACACCTTCTGTCATTTAAATAAATAGGAATATTTTGATTAGTTTCTCAGTGTATTTGAAAACACAACATGGAACATTGGTATTTCTTAAGTAATTAGGTCTTAGTAACATCTGTATAATAAAAGGTTGCATAATTCCTTGAAAATCAGTAAAAATGCCTTTCATTATTTGTCTCAAATTTTGTAGGTAATCTAATTTGAACATCCCTGATGTAACAGTCACCGCAAATAAAATCCATGTCTTCATTTTAGCAAGAACTCAGAAGAACTAATGTTTCTAAAGGATATCTGAATAAATTTTGTCAAATATTTTCCGAAATATTAAGAAGGCTTACCTTTGAATGACTGTTTAGCTCTATCAACTATATCTTGAGGTTTATAACTACCTAATTCACCACGAGCATGTTTCGTTTTACAATATGTACACTGATTTAAACAACTGAAAAATAAATAATAAATAAAATGTAAGGCGAGAATATTCTATATAGCAGCATCTTGTTAATTTTCGCTTTAGACAATGTTCATTTTATTCTAAAGATAGTTATTTGGTGTCAAATTTAGCACAGATGTAAGGCCTAGAAAAAAAAGTGTGCTTGCTTTTTTTTAATTTATAAAAGAGCATGAGCATTATGTCATCCATAATCAAATTATCTTACCCTGTATTAATAGCAATTATTTCGATGAGAGGATTCTTGCGTATTTTGGGTAGATCTAATGTTGCACCTCCTGTTTTTTTCCCACCCTGTTTTTTCTGACTAAATAATCTTACTGTATTTCCTGAAATAATGGAATATACTCTAAATATAAGAATAATAGTGAGGCTGATGTTCCCTGCCTCAATTCCAAAATAAATAGATGACACTGTTTATTTAATTACATGAACATTTTCATTTTATAAAACATCAACCGATCAAACTACTTTTAATCCTGCTTAACCTGAGGTGAAAATGCTCTTTATCAAACTTCATCCAAGGTATTGATTATGATGTAATCAAATTAACAAACCTTTTAACGTTTCTTCTACGACCTCTACAACTCGATCTATTTGTTGTACACCTATCACACTTAAACCCTAAAACATACATATATAAATAGCTTTTCTATAGCATGCTCATATAGGTTTTAAAAACATGGTCTATGCCTACTGGCAGCCTAATTGTCTCGGGTTTCAACAAGTGTAGTCACATGACTAGTTTTTATTTCTATATGCTAGCTAACTAATTGCATATTGTGATACAATCAACAGGCCCCAGGAGTACAAACGTTTTAAAAAGATACTGCTGGTTGCCATGCAAGATACTCTCACATTTTTCAAGAGACTGACAGATAGTAAGCTAAAAAATAAAGGATTTTTCGAACAATAAGGGGTCATAATTCAGGATCTTACAGTCCAACATGCGTCAAAATTGAAAGGAACCATGGTTTTTTGGATATAAACATATATTAGTTTCATTAAAAGGGTCCACAACCTTGGTATTACATACTTTAACATTATTTGTGTATGGGGAGCGACCATTTTGTCCGACAGTCGCCGTCCTATTTTCACAAAATTCGAACTCAACTGTTATTATGGTGTAACAGTGATTTGTTTGAACGGTTTTTAAAATCTGATAAAAATTGTGACCTCTAGAGAGTTAACAAGCTAAAAATGTGATTTTTTTGTACAAACAGGGGCCATAATCCACGAAGCTATTGTCCGATACATGCCAATATCGAAAGAAACCAAGATCTTTGGGATATAAACCTATATCTCAAGTTTCATTAAAATCTGATAAAAAAAATTGTGACTAGTAGAGGTCAACAAACAAAATGTGAACAGACATACACTGACGGACAGAGGCGACAACAATATATGTCCACATGAAAATATTGGCGTATAAATAAGTGCAATTGAAAGTTTTATTCAGGGACAATAATCAAAAATTCTATACGATATTAAATAACATAAAAATAAAACGGTGTGAGGTGATCCAATAACCAATTTTGTCAAATTGTTACAATTGCAAAAGTCATAAACATAATTTTATACCTGCATATATTCTGACCTTTGATGACCTTGTGGTACACATCCTGCTAAAACAATATATTTATCTAATTTATTAGCCAAGTTAATTTCGTTTCGGAAATGGTCTTCTGCTGGACTTTTTACTGTACAACTATTTAATAACCATAAATCAGCTTCATCTTTTTCTTCTGAAATATATTTTCAAGGCACAGATAAATATGAGATAAAGAACAGTTGGGTTTAATATTTGTGGATATATAGTCTTTATAAATCGGCATATTATTAATATCAGTGACCTTATGATAGATCAGAGGACTATGTCTTGACGTGATTGGAAGAACTGCGTTTTCATTGGCTGTTTAATATACGCAAGCAAGAACACAACACAACACAAATACAGTATTGAATCTAGATTAAATATATATATCTTTTAGAAAATCGTTAAGATTTTGAAGTTCTCAGGTTTGCTGATTATAAGCAATAATTTAATTTTAAATATTGTTATTTGAACCTACCTGTTATTTTAAAGCCATATGTTGCCAACTGACCAGCCATATATTCACTGTCAGAATTATTGTGAGAGCACCCCCATGTTTTAACATATATAGACTGAATGCCTGAAAAATAAAACACACATTAATTATTCAATTACTGGTTGAATTTACTTAAATCCAGATATATTGAAAACCATGTAAAAGACATATCTTACAAGATAGTCAATAGTTATATATGGAGACAATGCCATTTGGCAGTCATTTTGAGAAATGGCCGGTACCATGTTGAATATACATTTGGTCAAACATGTTTTTTTCTGTACGTAGTGTAAGAATTTAAAAAAATCTATTTATTGTTCTACCACTGAAATGCACTGGTTACGGGACATCGCTCTCAGAAACGTCCTGGGGACCCTCATGTTGAATTATGCTAATTACGTCATTTCGCCTTGGCTGACTTCGGTCGAATTTGAATATGATGTTGTCTAGTATAATTAAGATTGAACCCAACTGCATTGGGTTTTTTTTGGCAATTTGTTTGGGGTTACTCCACTTTTGAGATTAACCTTTCCCACTTAATTAGTTGTGAAGAAAAGTTAGAACATACATGTACATTGGTTCTCAAAAACAATTTAGAGAAATATACCAAAAACATGTTGATTTTAGCATGTGATTTAGTCCGCATTTTAGCTGCTTTTAAAAAATTGTCACACCTTAAATCGGAAAACCTCAAAAAATCTCCAGTGACTTTTTAGATAAGAGGCAGAATGAAAAAAGGTTTACAATCCACTGAAAACTTCCTATGTCATTTCAGGACTAACATACAGTATGGATTTTTTTCAATAACTGTCATACATCAAGACATTCACCTAATATTAATAAGACCTACAACAAGTTATTGTTTCTCAAAAAGAATGACATATGGAGAGACAGATGAACCAATTTAAATAATCCCCGGTTCTCTTCGAAAGGTGGAGGCCAAGAAGACAACCATGTCTCTCTAGAGTCTTGTGTTAAATGGCTTAAGACATTACCAGGTATGTAACTGTCTGCCAGGAATTTATCTCTAGTAGTAGTTTCCTTTTCTTTTTTATGTTTCCGGGCTCGAGGTACTATATGTTTTTTCGCTTTAACTCGATCTTCTACAGTGACATCATTGACAGAGACAATGTCTTCAATGTCATCTAGAGATTTCTCACAATCTGTCGGCATCTTTTTATTCTATATTCAGCTGTCAACCTGTATAGATGAAAATCAGAAGATTAAAACATGACAACAAAGCTGAAAATAATAATAATTGTTTATTGTTGACTTCTATTCAGAAATTTGCTTTGAAGTTACAGTTATGTATTTTACAAAAAAAACACACCTTATTAGTACCTTTGTTTCCGATGTCAAACCAACATTATTTTTCTAGAAAATGACAAAACTACTACATTAGCGGCTGCCAGGCAGGATACGCCCACATTTTCGAGAGATGGATAGAGAACAAGCTCACAAGAAAGTGATTTTTCCTACAATCAAGGGCCATAATTCAGGAAATTACAATTCGATATGCGCATATATCGAAAGGAACTGAGATCTTTGTGTTATAAACTTACATTTCAAGTTTCAACAAAATCGGATAAAAATTGTGACCTCTATAGGGTCCACAACCTTGATATACCATATTTTTACGCTATTTGAGAACGAACGGCGGCCATTTTGTCTGTCAATTTTGAGTCGATTTTCAATTAGGGTGGAACGGTAATATAATAATACGTTTTTTTAAATCGGATAAAAATTATGACCTCTAATGGGTCCACAAGCTAAAAACATGATTTTTCGTACAATCAGGGGCCATAATTCAGGAAGTTACGGTCCGATATGGGCAAATATTGAAAGGAACCGAGATCTTTGGGTTATAAAATTATATTTCAAGTTTCAACAAAATTGGATAAAAATTGTGACCTCTATAGGGTCCACAACCTTGATATACCATATTTTTACGCTATTTGAGAATGAACGGCAGCATTTTGTCTGTCAATTTTGGGCAGATTTTCATGAAATTCAAACTCATTCGTCCTTAGGGTGTAACGGTGATATAATAATACGTTTTATTAAATCGGATAAAAATTATGACCTCTATAGGGCCCACAAGCTAAAAACGCGATTTTTCGTACAATCAGGGGCCATAATTCAGGAAATTACAGTCCGATATGCGCGAATATCGAAAGGAACCGAGATCTTTGGGTTATAGACTTACATTTCAAGTTTCAACAAAATCGGATAAAAATTGTGACCTCTATAGGGTCCACAACCTTGATATACCATTTTCTTACGCTATTTGAGAACGAATGGAGGCCATTTTGTCTGTCAATTTTGGGCCGATTTTCACGAAATTCGAATTCAGTCGTCCCTAGGGTGTAACGGTGATATAATAATACGTTTTTTTAAATCGGGTAAAAATTATAATTTCTATAGGATCCACAAGCTAAAAACGTGATTTTTCGTACAATCAGGGGTCATAATTCAGGAAGTTACGGTCCGATATGCACGAATATCGAAAGGAACCGAGATCTTTGGGTTATAAACTTACATTTCAAGTTTCAACAAAATCGGATAAAAATTGTGACCCCTATAGGGTCCACAACCTTGATATACCATATTCTTACGCTATTTGGGAACGAACGACGGCCATTTTGTCTGTCAATTTAAGGCCGATTTTCATGAAATTTGAACTCAGTCATCCTTAGGGTGTAACGGTGATATAATAGAACGTTTTTTTAAATCGGATAAAAATTATGACTTCTATAGGGTCCACAAGCTAAAAACGCGATTTTTCGTACAATCAGGGGCCATAATTCAGAAAGTTACTGTCCGATATGCGCAAATATCGAAAGGAACTGAGATCTTTGGGTTATAAACTTACATTTCAAGTTTCAACAAAATCGGATAAAAATTGTGACCTCTATAGGGTCCACAAGCTAAAAACGTGATTTTTCGTACAAACAGGGGCCATAATCCATGAAGTTTTGATCCGATATATGCCAATATCGAAAGCAGCCAAGATCTTTTGGGGATAAGCCTATATTTCAAGTTTCGTCGAAATCGGATAAGAACTGTGACCTGTAGAGAGTCCACAAACAATTCCGGACGGACAGGGGCGACGGCATAATACGTCCACATGAAAATGTGGGCGTATAAAAACTATACAATTATTATATGGATATAAAAATAATGGGGTAAATCCAATTTTATCGTTTGTTAAACTCAGTTTAATTTTGTCATCCATGGAATTACATGTTTGTGGAAAATATAATACAAGCCAACGGTGAGGCTGATGTCCCCTGCCGAAATCCCAAATTAAATAGATGACACATATTAATTAATAGCACATTTAATTTTTTCAAAAGTATCAAGCAATCAAACTATACACTAAGTTTCATCGCTCTCTATCAGATAGAATCAAGATTATCTTGTTCCAAAGCATCAACCAATGAAATTTATTAGCTCTGCTTACCTTCAGTTCGAAATGTTAATCATTGAACACAGTCAAGACATTAACTTAATGAACATCTACATCAAGTTTGAACATTCTACCTCAATTAAAAGCAGAGTTGTTATGTTCAAAAGTCTTGACCAATCAAATTGCTTATCGCTCCTTAGCCTATGCAGAAAATCCTCACCATCGAACTTAGTCAAGGTAATGATATAATGAATCTATATTCGGAGTTTCATCGCTTTCACTTTATTATAACCAAAGCATTAACCAATGAGATTGCTTATCTCTGCTTACGTAAGCAGACAATGCTCATCATCAATCTACACCAAGGCATTCACCTAATGAACGCCTACACCAAGTTTGAACATTCTACCTCAATTAGAAGGAGAGTTATTGTGTTCCAAAGTCTCGATCAATCAAATTGCTTATTGCTCTGCTTACCCTCAGCATAAAATGTTCATAATCGAATTTGGTCAAGGTATTGAACATTCTACCTCAATTAGGAGAGTTATTGTGTTCCAAAGTCTTGATTAATCAAATTGCTTATTGCTCTGCTTACACTGAGCAGAAAATGCTCATTATCGAACTTAGTCAAGGTATTGATGTAATGAAACTATACACCAAGTTTCATCACTGTCACTTAATTAGAACTAAAGCTATTGTGCCCCAAAGCATCACCCATTCAAATTGCTTATCTCTGCTTACCCTAGGCAGAAAATGCTCATCTTCGAACTCCATCAAGGCATTCTCCTAATGAATACCTACACCATGGTTGAACATTCTAGCTCAATTAGGAGAGTTTTTGTGTTCCAAAGTCTTGGCCAATCAAAATGCTTATCGCTCTGCTTACCCTGAGCAGAAAATGCTCTTTATCGAACTTAGTCAAGATATTGATGTAATGAAACTATAAACCAAGTTTCATCACTGTAACTAAAGTTATAGTGTCCCAAAGCATTAACCACTCAAATTGCTTACATGTATCTCTGCTTACCCTAAGCAGAAAATGCTCATCTTCAAACTCCATCAAGGCATGGACCTAATAAACACCTACACCAAATTTGAACATTCTATCTCAATTAGAAGGAGTTATTGTGTCCCAAAATGTGTGACGGACAGACGGACGGACCGACAGACCAACCGACAGACGAACCCAATTTAATAGTCAACTGCTTTCTTCGAAAAGTGGGGGACAATAACAGAACACTTAAGTTGTATATTTATTCAATACATAAATGTAAATATTACACATCTACTTGACACCAAAACGAAGCATGCGTTAAACAATCATTTACAGCTGTATTTTCAAGTGTCATTTCAAATCAAATCTAGAAATGAGCAGCTGTAAATACTGAAAACATTATTATCCATTGTCTTCTGCAGTGCTTTGTCAGAACTAAAAGCTATTTCTGAAACTATATATTGACTGAGTTTTACTCTAAATACATCTAATTTTTGTTTTTAAAACAGATATGTCCTTAAATAAAATGAATAAACTAAATGACGCACTTTCATATAAGATTTTTGGTAAACTGTTCCACAATGAACATTGTCCTGGGCACAGTTAAACATATCCAAAATGAACATTAAGAGCACCAGCTGAAAGCGTCTTTGCATAATTGAATTATCTGTGTGGAAGTCAACATAAAATTTCGTCCATTACTGAGCTTTGTTAACTTTTCATCAAATTCAAAGCCACACTATCAGTTTTATTGTGTCCAAAATTTCAGAATTCAAAACGGATGGAAAATGAAACACAAAGGCAGGAAATAAACATAGGCCTACGAATAAAATTCAAATATAATAACAAATCGAGTAAGAAATACATGTGAATGTATGTTTGGGAAACAAAATATGTTGGTAGCGTACATGTATGTACATGTATGTATGCCCATGTCCATGTATAAAATGTATAAATAACTACATATTTATAGGCCCACATAGAAATGTGCTGATATGGTAGTAATTAATGTGATATGATGGTGAATATGGGCTGCTTTCTCATTATCCGATAGGTACACAAACACCATTAACTTATACTGATCCATATGAATATTGCGATATAAAACTGAAATTTCTTTGACAATTCAGATTGATAGGATCTTAGAAATGAGGAGAAACTGTTCAGGGTCAGCAATTTTGACTATGTAAAATAACTAAGGTCCATCCGATAGTGCTGACATGATATATCGTTTAATCGATGTTTCCTTTTAATGAATTGCGAGAGGCTGAATCAAATTTTTATGATTCCATTTATGTTTTATTTTTTGGGGGGGCTTCAATAACTAAGTGGTCATTCTTATCCATGTCACACATTATCCATACATGTACATGTAGGTACACAAACACCATTAAATTGTTTTGGTCCTTATTTTGATCAATATGAATATTGTGATCCTGTCCGTAATAATCTTTCAATCAATCTAGTTCCACTTTAATTAGAACCAATTTTTGGCTGTGTGGTGCATTATATCAAAAGCCCAGATTTTCATGATAAAATAACATAATCAATATGAAAAATGGAACAATACTGAATTCTTAATTTTCTAATTCCTGTGCGTACATGTAAGTCAGATTTCCTAAGTTTAATCTTTGCTCAACTCGGATTAAAATGTTTGGTCTATTTGATCTAATTCAGGCTTTTTTCCTTCGCCCAAGTCGGATTGGTGGTATGTTCAGAATTTGACAAATTCAGTTTTGTCCCGATGGTCAAAAAGGCGGTTAGGTATTCCATGCACAGAGCCCCAAAATACTTTCCCTCATGATTTTGACTCAAATCAGCTGATTTGACATGACATAATAATAGAATCTTCCCGGAATATTCGAAACTTGCTGTCTGCTGTACGAGAAAATTTGGGACATTTTTCAAAGATGGTAACAAATCGGAAGTTATCTACTCGCACATACAAACAAAAGCTTGAAATGTGCCTTTGAATCAATTATTATCCAGCTCTTGCAGTTTATTTCTAATCGAGCTAAGACTGAATTTCAGTCTTCGGTTAACTTGGATCTTCGCTTAAATCGGATAAAATTGGTCAGTCCACTTAGATCTGACTTATGTGAAGTTTATTGAATTTGCGTACAAGGGGCGGGCATTTTGGTCTTTAATGTAAAGGAAAATTTTAGTGAGAAAATAAGACCTTGCTTACCTTGCTAGAATCAGTATGTGCGAGACAACATGCTGTTTAAATACATCCCTTTCTGCCAAGTTGTTTAGCAGAAGTGGACATATTTTTAATAGTATGTACAGGCGTTCACAGGGACTGACACGCGACCGTTTAGCAGTAAAAAGTTGCCCAGTAAAATTGGCTGGGGTTCTAAAGTTTTTCGACAAGGATACAATAGGGAATGAAATGGAGTTTAACATCCTACTGTTCTGCTCTGAGGTGGGCTAATGAAGACGGGCATACGCTGTACCGTACAGTGTGCTACATGTATGAGATTCAATAGGGCAGTTCCTGAACGTACTGGGCGAGTGTAATGAGACCTACGTTCAGAGCTGAACTAATGTAGCTCTAACTCAATATTCCACAATATTCAAAAGTAAAAGTTAAAAATAAGGCAAATAGCACAAACTAGAAAATTAAGAATTCAGTATTGACTGAGTATTGTTCCATAGTAAATATTGATGTTGTATTTTACCGTGAAAATGTGAGCTCCTTATAGAATCATAGAATGCTCCTGATAGAATATATTATACATATATGATACAAATTTTCTATAATATATTTTGTTATAATAAATAGTAACATAATAAGGCTGAAGACTATATCACTCACTAATAAAATTTAATGTAAACATGTGGAACGGAAGTATATGTTATTCTTTACTCCAGTCTGAGAGAAATTGTCATGGAAGACAACTCTTTTGTGTGTTTTTAGGGATCAGACTCCATTTGGACAATAATTGATAGATACTATTGAAATGAAATGAAATGGGGTTTAACCAAGTAACTTCCATTAAAGCTTCTTGGGTTTAATGTCCTACTGCTCTGGCTGTGCTAATGAAAACGGGTATACGCCATACAGTATGCTATGAAGGAAATTTTGGCCGGGTAGCGACACTATGGCCTACTCTTATATCGAATTCCAACTGGCAAGAGATCTTTTTCGTGCACGCCAATGTATACACGGGACCCGGTTTTTTGTTCCATCCGATCAACTAGACAGCTGTCCTTGTCAGGCCCTCCTTCCTGGATCACTAACAAGGGGAAACCACGCCGAAAATAACAGATACTACATAAATAATGGCAATTTTTGTATAATTGTGTAGTTGTGTGGATGGATACACAAAACGAAAGAAGTCAAGTCAGTGCAGATCAGCATGATGCATCAGACATTTATTAATGCGCTGAATTAATTGTGAGACTACAAAATCCATGAGGGCCCTGGATGAAAATGTAACGGGACCTTTGCATCAACAGTATTGAGTAAAAAGGGGGCATATTCGGGATATTGTCTGCCACATTCACACAAATGCAATTTGTAGGTCAGTATGGTAGATGGATGGATCTATTTGGCATAAACATTATTATACATAATTAAATAGCATGATATTTATGGTACTAAACTAATTAGGGGACCCCTTTAATATTAAAGCCCCTGGCTGTGTCAGTCAGCCCCCCCCCCCCCTTTTCCCTTAATTCGGGACTGATTATTCCACTTAAAAATAACCCAAAACGTCATTTGCAATTAAAAATATCTACCCAAAATGTCACTTAGTTTTACAATATCTGCTGCGTAGTAAGTAAAGAGAAAAGGACATTTCGTTGAATTATCCACGTTAGTTAATTGCTTAGTGATTTGTCCGGGATGACGATTTGGTTCGGTACCGCGGTACCCAGTTTCATTCAATACCTAACTTTATCACAAATTTTGCAAGGAAAAGGTAAATCAACTATTGGCTGTTTAAAAAAGCAAAGGTGTCATATGAAAACGGGGGAACCAAATAAATAGGCAAAGGGTGGATTGGACCCCAGTTGAGTCCAATATGGCCGCTCCGCATTAATTTGTCTATTTTAAACTTTAGGGTACAGTTAGAATTCTAATAATTATATACGGCGGCCATGTTGGACTCAACTTGGGTCCAATTTACCGCTGAACCAAATAAATACATAGGCGTGACCTATCCAAACCGCGTGATTTGTGACACCGGGCTCACTACGCCAAGATTATCAGATTATCAGACCTATAAGCTTAATTGTGAAATAACCCCTCGAAAAATTATTTTTCAAAATTAAAAATTATTTTTCCAAATTAAAAATTATTTTTCCAAATTAAAAATTATTTTTCCAAATTAAAAAATAAAAAACAAAAAAGGAAATAAAAAATTACAAAAATATATAACAGTTATTCTACAAAATCGAAAATTAAAATTAAAATGAGAAATTATTTTTCAAAATTAAAAATAAAAATAGGAATTAAAAAAACAAAAACAAAAATAATTCGTATTTGAGCTTCCGTAACATGTTACAACCATATACTTATAGTCACCAGTCGTTAGTGTCATCGTTATACAGCTTATAGTTTACTACCGGTCACAAACAGACTTCACCATTGTTTAAAACAATTTCACATTCACTCTATAAAATAACAAAAAATGTAATAATATGTGATATGATATTTATGTTGCATGTGAGTGTGATATTTCAAGCTCAAGCTTTGCCCTTGTTTTAGGTTAACTCATAATACAACACTTATCCATGGTTCACCTAAGTCAACATGTAACACCACAATTAAAGTATATAAGGTAGATCTAAATAAATTTAACAAAAGTTTATAATGTACACAAAGGATTAATTCACAATGGGGTTTTAACGTCCTACTTTTCTGCAACCACCGGGATAATGAAGACGAGATAGAGCAATTTTATTTTATCGTAATAACCATGTCGATTGGTAGTTGAATACTATATTTTGTTTCAGTCACGGTGATAACGTTTGACCTTTTCTGGCAAATTATATACTTTCCGAGATTATCTATACAAGAACAATTTAATTGATAATGTAATTTTCCACATGAAGACATTGTCATTTTAACACCATTACAAACGATAACCGGGGAATGGATATATACTAATACAATTCCCGTATTCATTTTGTTTGGGTGTTATCAAATCTAAATGTATACCAACGCATGTCGCGGTTAAACTACCCATTTTAAATACATTGTAGTTTATTTTGCCCAGGTGCAGATACTGCAAACCTATTCATTTATTTATTAATTAGCCTAATCAAAGTCGCGGATTGATAGGTGGCGCTGATCTGTTAGTATTGGTTATAAATGCACTAGCCTTAAAGTTACAATTTCATATTTTCTAAGAAAGTCAAAACATAATTATTTATATGTCTTTTGCTCAATAGGTTATTAACTCACTATTATACCACTGACACAGGGAATAATAACACAATTACTTCCCTTGTTTTCCTATTGCCTCCATGCATTAGCTACCTTCAAACGTTGGAATTTGAAGTTGAAAATGATATTTTTGCCAATTTCTCAGCTGGCAATAGTGAATTATAGGATTAATAGGATTATTCGCTAACAAGGTAGGACGGTTTATGGATACCATCTATTTTAAGGCTTTATTTTAATAAATTTTAAAAATATGAAATTGTAGCTTTAAACCAGGGGCTAAAACAATTTTTATTTTTATCAAAACGACCATTATAACTTTATAGTCATATCATAATGGATATTTAAATATTTAAAACGACCAGTTAAACGAATACAGTCGTTATTGCAGCAAACGTACATTATATGATATCCAGCGCCGGATTTACCGGATTAGGGCCCCAAGATCTAGGGAGCCTTCAGCCAAGGTGTATAATATTTCTGACACTGTCATAAACATTTCTTACACGCACTGAAGTTTTTGAACCTTGTCATAATCATCGACTTTGCTCAGTTGTTTTAAAACACAGGTTCCTGTCACAATTCTACTAATATATTACTGTCGACATCATTCATCAACAAAAGTTGGTGACTTCGTTCGCTTCCATTTGCTTATTTATAAAATCACATGACACATTTCTTTTATCGTGTAATGTTATTTCCAATGGGAACGAGTTGACACCTGTTGCAAGACCGCTCATGTCGACTGCAACTAGTTGCAGAAAGTTGAACATGTGCAACTGACGGCAAAGAGTTGTAATCGGAGCCCAGGTCGACACTTTTCAGTTGCATTCAGTTGAAACGCCGGTTGCTTGCAGTTGCTTGCAGTTGCAAGATCGACATAAGCATTAGCCCCACCCCACCCTTAGCCTTAAGACGTAAACGAGCATGTCTGGGGCGAGCATGGTGAATCAAGTGTGACGTCCACCAGTTGTACGACACTGTGCATTCAGCCATTATTGTGTACTAATGGTTTATGGTACAGACATCATATATATACTCTTTAAAAAAAGTAGGGGATACTCAGAAACAATACAAAACTGCGGTAATGCACTGCTGTTTTTATTAGAGGTAACCAGTGTATGTTATTAACAGGTCAATTGCCTACACATGAACATAAACAGTTCATATGGGCGGCTTATCTGACGGCCCCATTTCACTCGCAAAGAGATACACTGTCAAAAGTGAAAATGGACGTTTTTTATGTTTTTCTTAATAATGAGTATAATTACTCCACCAATCCTCAGACATTCAGCAATTCGTCGTGGTATGCTCCTAATCAACCGTCCAGTCACGATTTGGAGCAATCTGACCCATTCCTCTTGCAGTGCCACGGCCAATTCTTGCAGTGTTGTCGGTTGACGTTGACGTAGACGAACACGTCTCCCGATCATGCCCCAGACATGCTCTATAGGGGAAAGGTCAGGACTCATGGCAGCCAAGGAATATGGACAATATGGTAACGCTGGAGGTAGTCATTCACAACACGAGCCCGGTGGGCACGAGCATTATCATCTTGAAAGATGAAACGTCGACCTGCACGTTAAGCAAAGGGCAGAGCTATCGGTGCCAGGGTGTGGTCACGGTAGTACATACCAGTGTACCTTTCTTGAACAATATGCAAATCCGTTCTGCCAGTCATGTTGATTCCTCCCCACACCATAACAGACCCACGCCCGAATCTGTCATGCTGTCTGGCGTTAACGTTAGCATGACGCTCATTTACACGCCTCCAAACGCGAGCATGCCTATCGGTGAAATCCTGAGTAAATCTGAACTCATCTGAGAACATTACACGCGCCCATCGACGATTACCCCAATTTCTACCCTGCCTACACCATTGACGTTGTTTGCCATGTGCTGGCGCGGTCGTCACGCATGCAAATGGGCTGCATGTAGCCGATTTCTATTTGTTTGGGGTGTAACTCGAATTCCTGTAACTTGGTACAAGTTTACAGAAAGCTGATTGGCCGTTTGTCCTCGATTTCGCAGGACCTGTGTACGAATGTATCGATCCTGGGCTTGTGTAGTGGCTCTAAGACGACCTGAACGAGGTCTATCATCAACATTGTGTGTTTGTTGGTACCGGTTCCACAGTCTGCTGATCACAGACTGTGACACATTAAGCATGTTGGCTACTGCTCGCTGTGTAGAACCCATTTGGAGCGTGCCAATAGTAAATATACGTTCATCATGTTGAAGACGTCTCATTGCAAATTAAACGTAACACACTAAAGCAAAGATACGCTAAACAGTAAATCTTATGCGAGAACCGATAGGAAAGCAAACATGGATAGGATAAACCAGCACGCGGCAGTTTTCATCAACCCTTCCTTGAAGTGTCAAATTTGACAATGAACACCTTAGCTCATTGGTTCGGTTGGGGCGATAAGTTCTTCATCTGTGAACATACTCTCAAAGCATATCAAGTGTCCATGACTATTTATCATATCACAACCTGATAGGTATTTGCATCTGAATATTCCCTACTTTTTTGAAGAGTATATATATATACGCTAAATGTACATTAGACTATTGTTTATGGTCACAGCTGATAATTACATACAAATTTGAACATTGTTTGGCCGTTTTGATCAGGTCTAGTTTATATCGTCTGGAGAGGATGTGTCGAATATTTTAATTCCTCACATCATTATTATTATCTGTACTGATATTTGTGACTTCAGTTTGCCTGTTCAGAGTTGGCGGTTACTAGGGCTGTCCAGAGGCTGAAATTTAGTGTATAGGGAGGGATAGCTCGGACCGGGGAGTAACATGGGCCAGGTGGCGTTGGACTACCGTTTCCGGTTTTGGGGTAATACTACTTTTAAGCCGTGCAGCGCCGGGTCATCCGCTAGTATAGTATATTATATTAGATTATTTTTGGACTGATATTTCTTTTAGATATTCAAATTTGACAAGATCTTTAGTTGGTTGGGGTTTCAAGGTATAATTAGTAAAATTGATTTTCTCTAATTATAAACCATTAATGATCACTCTATAGATTTAGCATTTAGATTCAGGTTTCAGTTAAAAGGTTATAAAGATTTTAATCGGAATAAACTAATTAAAATCGATTATTTCAGAATGGCTAACTGGTGGAATACAGTTTTGTTTACTCAACGGCCATTTACTACATCCCTTTTCTATATTTGCATATATTAATTATAATACACCCCTGCAATAAACAGGGGCATACATAAAGATTTTGTTTGGGAGGGTGTTAAGCAAAAATGCGACCGACTGATGCACATGTCCCTAATACGAGTGACGCAGTCAGGGACCGAGCACCACAGATGATAGTTTTCTATGAGCCAGTAGCTGATCTGGAAGCTGGGAATAAGGGGTGGGGTGGGGCGGTTCCAAATCTAGGGCGCCATCAACAATCACACCCCACAATGAATGTCAACAAAATACTGGCTATAACACTGGGCGTCCCGGTAGAACATAGATTATATTGCCTATAGTTCTTCGCCGATCGTTATCTCGTCGGAAAGCAGTTTTATTCAAGTTGACATAAAGTATATGTCATATAATATGATGATTGTTATTGATTTTGTAATTAGATTTATGTGAACCTTAGGGGCAGTAGCTATAACAATGAGCAACCTGAGAAAATTTTGAAAAATTGAACCAATATCCTGGCACTTGAGGTCATTGCTGGGAGCAAATTCTTGTGAACAAGAGAACCAGAAATAGGAGTCAATAGGACAGAATCTCGAAATCTGCCCCTGTCAATTCCGCTTGTTTTGCCAGAGTTGTCAGAACATTTTTACAGTCTGGCGCCCCACGCACCAGCGGTACTACTAACTTGGCAGTTCACTATAACCGTGAATATGACAGTGCTGGGGCAGTATAAGACCATAGAGGAGTGGAAAAATGATGCCATAATGGAATCTAGCGGCACAAGCGCAAAAAATTTCAGATATGTAACTGACCTTTTAATTTTTAGGGACTGGGCCTGAAAAATTATAGTCAATATCATGACAAATGGGATCAAATTCTAAATGGGGCATAATCTTGAGGCCTGTTTTGTGAGAGTAGAAATAACAATTCCAAAGTCTGTCGCCCCACTCACTAGTGGTACTACTAACTGGGCGATTCATTGGAACTGTGAATATGATAGTAATGAGATTGTATAAGACAGAGGAGTTGAAGAATAATGACAATAGAATTGAGCGCCGTAGGCGCGAGAAAAAATTAGGTTATGTAACTGAGCTTGGGTCTGAGGGGACTTTGTCTCACGGGGGCGCTTACTTGGTCTCTGAAATGCTATTTACGGGACTTCGGGATCTGGGGAAAGGTTTTGCGACCGACAATTTTTCTCGCTGGGGGGAAATTATTTTACTTAAAGCAACTCAAAACAGAATAAGGGTAAAAGACATTTTTTCAAATATGATAAGTTGACAAGGTTATTTTATACTAAGGTTTTGGGTGAGTAGCGTGACGTATGCAATTTAGGTGCACGGATTCACGCAAAGACATAAAATTTGGGATTTTTCCTTCTATTTTGGCATTGTTTGTATTAATTCAGTGAGCACTTATTTTGAGATCGACTGCACTTATTTTGCGACCGACTGCATTTATTTTGCGACCGACTATTTTTTTCGCTGGGGTAGGTCAACCCACCCCCCCACATTTACGCCCTGGCAATAAACCATCTCTATGAAACATCCGTATGCGGTAACTAATATGGCAACGCCAGACATGCGCCCATCGGAAAAATTTATCGATCAATCACAATTGAGAAATTTGGGGAGGGATATGGTGGCTTTCGCTATGATTCAGGAATATAACAATTTTTTTTTTAAAAGACATAAATAAAACGAAATGAAAATGAAAAACAAAGTCAAAATCAAAAGTAAAATAGTACTGAAGCGTATGTACATAAGCGTATAGGGCTCATGCAAATTTTTTTAGAAGATCTCGAGGTCCTGCGATCTTGTGATACTTTCTCGAAATACCGTGATCACATGATATTTTCTCAAGATCCCAATTTATTGTTCTCGATATCCCCTAATAATTTTCCAGAGATGCTTCATCCTATGTTAAAGATCTCGAAAATTCGAGTTAATGCTCTCGAGATATTGACATACTGTGTAAATTTCTCAAAACTCGCGTTAATATTATCGAGATCTTGACAACATATGATAAT